AACCCAAATCATGCGATTCACTAGACCGGCCCAAAAATCTCCAGTTCAATGAATCAACTTGTGCATATGTTCGGGCCGGTTCAGGTTCCTTCAAATCCCTGCCTGAAACTGGTGTTTGGTGACGTCTAGTACTAGTTTGTAGAATGATGCACAATAACTATCTTAAACAAGCTGGCATCATAATGTCCAACGGTAGACGAGGGTCATTAAGAAGAAAATGCAATTGTTAGTTATGTGATCATATCAGTATTAGAGATGTTAAACGGTCCTTGGCCCGACGGGCCAGCCCGTTTAGCCCGAAAAGAAAAAACAGGGTTAGGGCCTTTTTTTAGTAGCCCGTTTAAAGCAAGACTTTTTAGGCCCGGACCGTTTAAACCGAAGCCCGATAGGGCTAGCCCGAAGCCCGCTAGGGCTAGCCCGTTTAATTTGTATATTAAAATTTCACTATCTAACTTTATATGTAACTATGAGTTGTAGCAGGTTATTATGATTTTGAAAGACAATTATTAACTATTTCGTTATTTTACTTCACACCAAATTATTTAAGCCAATTAGAACGGCTAATAGAAAATACATGAGACAAAGACCTAACACATAGAATATAGTGATAGAATATAAATTCAACAGTAAGATATTATATCGTGAAAATTTCCAAAGCGTACAAAAATAAGTAGTAAAATGGTAATTATAAGTAGGAAAAATTGGAGATTTCGTCCTGTAAGTGACACCTATATGAGGTTTGGTCCTCTCCGATGCCCACTTTTGGATCACGTCCCGTAAGTGACAAAAATCGTGAAAAATAGTCCTATCACCGGCAAATGCAGGTCATTTTTACCGGCTAGTCTACGTGGCATTTTTAGATAATTTTTTTTTTGCTGAGTTGTAAATCTGATCCTTAGTTGACAAATTATGTGACTTTTTTACAAAAAAAAATGCAAGGAAGGGGAAAAGAGGATTAATGCCACTTGACCTAACACACTCTTTGTAATAAATCTTACTTTACTTATATATTAATCAGAAATTCTTTATCCAAAAATAAATTATTTAATATTTTTATTTCGTAAATATTTATTTAGTAAAAATTTAATAAAATAAAAGTTATTTAGTAATTATTTATTTAATATATATTAATTTGATATCCACAACCTTTAATATGTATATATATATATATATTGCTATTTAATATTTATTATATATATATTTATATTTACATATTAAATATATTATTTAATTTATTTATTTATTTAAATATTAAATATAATTTTTGAATATATTTATCTATTTGA